TTTTCCAAGTAACAAGATTCTATTTAATGCCGGACCGATTGAATTAGCTTACTGAAAATTCACAAAAGCTAGACTATACAGTGGTACATAATCGAAATAGCGGAATAAATGAGCATCACGAAGAACGAAACTAAAACGAAACTAAAACGCGATTAATAAAGGGAATATTGCAAAAATCTAATCTCGCACAGTGGCGGGCAACTTTATAGTTTTCTCTTAATTAGGTCGTGTCAACCTTGGCTGCACGAACGCGGATCTCCTCTTCGTGACCCGCATACACCACTTTGGATTGCCCTGCGAATTTACAGGAGGAGGGGCCCGACGAAACGCGAATGTGTGCTCCCTTCCAGCATCAAAGGCTGGCAGGTTCGAAATGCAACGAGGGATCCGACGAGCGGAAAGGACCGCCTCAGAGTCCTTTCAAGTTCTAATGTACACCCACATGTATCCATTAAACTAACAGTTGTAAAGAAATATTGTCAAAACATTTGTTTGCAATGTTAACAGTTATTTTTGTAGTTATTTTCCATCAATACATCAACGACACTTCAACAAGAAAAATATTGCAAAAATATCGCAAAAAATATTGATTTTTAAATATTTTCTATTTTATCCTCTACCATGAAAGTTATTTTATTGTAGCAATATACCTTTTTCAAGAAAGCCTTGTGACATTCTAATAATTTTATATTTATTTTATATTTTGTCTGCATTGAGATTATGATTGCATCGAATAGTAGATAATTTATGAAATTACATACTTGTGCGGTAAATTTATGATCGAGTAGAGATCGAACGTCGATAATCTTTAAGCGGGTCCCTCCAGATATTCGTTTTTTCTATCAGACATCCTAATTAGATTATAAACAGGTGTTTGTCGCTGCAGAGGAGCGGTGAGGTGAAAGAGGGCAGAAACGGCGAGGGAGGAAGAATTCCATCTGTCGAACTTATAAACGATCGTCCTCCGTTCCGATTTCATTTCACGACCCGTCGCACAACTAGACGCCTCTTCCTCCACCGCCTTCCCTCATAATTGTCATAACTTCCTGCATTTTCTCGCCGTTTTATATCGCTGCTCGTACATCTTCCTCTCTCGCTCTCTCTTACTCCCTTTACTGGTTTCTCATTCGTTTTCCCCGCTCGCTGCTTACAAAAAGAAACGAGGACGACTTTCCGGCCGTGCAGGAAGGCATTAGCAATAAATTATAGGAAGCACGTCGGGAAATGATAAAATATACGCGTACTCACGGGTATCATTGAAGGCTGCGTTATTATATCTTCGATCTCCGCGTAATTTGTGGCACAACGATTCATTTCTCGCGCGAGTTCCTACAATAATATTTTACGATGTTGCGCACGGAGATTCTAATGAATGTGACATACATAAAGCATTCTTTCGCTCCGCTATTCACACAAATGTCTCATTATCTCCTGAAAATCATCTGTATAAGTCCATCATCGTATTCATCAATCGCGGCATCATCGACTCGAGATGCATCGCAAGGATCGCGCGAGAGACGACTCGCGGAGACGCGACAGGAAACCGCGCAGCCTTTTGACCCGCGGCAGTCAAAGAGCAGATCCACCGGTCCACGGTGACCTTAAGCACACTCGAATTCCCCCTCGTTCGTGCCATTCGCGAGAGCCGTCCTTGTCGAAATTTCCCATACGTCGCGCCGAAAGGAAATTCAGGAAACAGCGACGCACGGGGAAGCCTGCGTCGAACAAGGGGATGATCCCGGGTTAAGGTCAGACCGCGGGGCCGATTCAGGGCCGTACTTACGATAACCGGCGTTCTCAGCATCCGTCGAGGAGCTCGGCGGCAGAGACGGCGAGAAAGGGTCGGCAGAGAAGAGAGAGAGTATTGACGTTGCGCCGCTTTTAAATATTGCATCCAAGTCACGTTCCGGGACCGTATCCTCGCCCGCTCCCACCCCGCCTCCTCCCCGGAATCCTCCGCGAACCCGCGCCAACCGACGAGCACCGGGACCGAACGTCGCATAACTACCGCAAGGTTTCCAAGGAGACAAAGGAAGAAGCAACGTAGACGGAGACGACGGGCGGAGGGCGAAAGGACGATGGGCGGAAAAAAAAGGAAAACATTCGCGAAGGCTGCCGCCACCTCCGCCGGTGGAGGAGTAGGCTCGGAGGAAAAATAATAATGCACAGCTACTAATGTCGTATCTGCGCGAGACACATGCTTCGGAAGAATGAAAACGAGGAGAATAGAGGGCGGAGGGAGGCCGAGCAGGGGAAAGGTGAGGCCGCTTTTCGTCTCGGCTTTTGTTCTCAATTCTCTCTGCCTTCCTCCTCCCTCTTATCTCTCTCTCTCTCTCTCTCCCTTCCATCACTTATTCTCGGTTTTGTACGCCGTCGTTTCGCAAATGATCTATTTACTTCGGCTTTCTCTGCGGTTTCACGACTTGCTGCTCCTCCCACAAGAATTTTAGAGGTATGAATGGACCGACCGTGAGGGCGGCTCGAATAGCGCGACTAGATAGAAGGGGAGTGCAGGGAGATAAATAACGCGACTGAGAACGAGACAGACGATCATTTGTTTCGTTGACGAATATTTAGTCGATCGCGAAAAAAAAATTTATTCTCTATCATAATCGAGGTCCTTTATTACATTAATATATATATTTAACCCCTTAACATACAATGACGTCTGGGAGACGACATTGTATTTCATGTGCTATTGTAGACTTTGACGTCTCCGAGACGTCAAGAATTGTCTCCGGCGGACGCCGTGCAGTATATTATTAGATCATTCAATTGTTTCACTTGTGCGTCGATTCTGTTTTGTTTAGAATGTTCAAGATGCTCCCCCCTTCTCAACAATACCGATAACAAAATCGCATCGGCAAACCAGTAAGTCAGAAAGAAGTACATTAAAAGCAGTATTCAGTATAGCAGTGATCTCGCACGACGAGAAATAATATACCTTCAAAATATACCTTCGACTAATAAAAAGGGACATCCTGCAAAGAGATGCCATGTGTGCGTAAAAAATAATATAAGAAGCGAAACAACTTGGCAGTGTAAAAAATGTCTAGTTCCTCTACATGTTCCAAAATGTTTTGAAATGTTTCATACTTTAAAGTACTACTAAAGTATTATTTTATAATGTTACTTAATTATTGTACATTAACATTATATATCAACTTGATTAAATGTTATATAGCGATGCAAATTTCAAAATAAAAAGTTCTGTTTCCAAGCTTGCACATAACTGTTCATTGAGCAAAATTAAATAGTTTTCCGGACGCATCAAATTCCGTTTTATTTGTATGTCAAGGGGTTAATGTGCGGACGAAATAACGATTGTAGATAGATCGAGTTTCTTCTTAAAAGCAGGAAAGCTCATTTTTATGGACACGGTAAATCAAATCTCGATCTGTAGATAGCTCACGCTGTTCTCTCCTTCGTATAAGCCAAGGGGATTTAAATATTGGGATAGCGCGTGCTGTTACGAGAGCCCGAAGGATTAAAAGCTCATCGATAAAGAAGAAGGAACGTAACACGTGTCTAGTATCGATTCTGTTGTTCGGCCAACAAGCGATACGGAATCCCAGCTTTAAGGGAAGAATGTAAAGAAAAAGAAAAAAAACTATCTCATACTCCTCCCCTCTCTCTGCTCCGCCTCTTTCGCGAGAGTGCGATCTTTAAATATTACACTAGATCGATCTTCGGATCAAAGTCCCGTTGCGATTTATTTCCATCCGTCCTGAGTTGGTCCGCACTATACTCGTGAGAACTACTGCGGGAACTTTGGCGTATCGACCTGCCGCAACGAAAATATATAAAATTCTAGGTCCCCCGTTCGACGTAGCGCTCGATTCGACTACGCTCAGCGATTGTACATTCTTCGTACATTCCCAACGGCGAGTAGCAGTTAGTCACGACAAGTGCCTCGGTTGTCAAAGACCGATCGACAATCGCGTCGTGAACCTCAATTGTGACAAGCCCATCGTGCGGAGTGGCATTTTTATCTGTACGACTTATCAAAGTCCGGGGCAAGAACATTAACGAGACTCCGCGCATCGGCGGAAAATATTTCACGTGTAACCGGAAGCATTAATCTTCGACGGATGGCAGTTGGTTAACGCACTTTTTTATATCCGTCACTTTTTTTAATACTGGCGACGGTTATGGTGGTGTTTTTATATGAACGTTTCGGAAACGTGACAGAAAGAAGTAAAAAGCTAGGTAACTTTATAGGTCAGATCGTAACGGCCGGCAGGTTGTTGGGCGCGAATTCTCATCACGTAGAAAAAGAAAAAGCGTTCCGTGCTTATCAGCGGTGTGCGAGAACAAAAGGCGAGAATTACCTCCCGCAATAACCGGAGCACACTTATCGCTCTATAGCCAGAAAAAGATCCTACCAAAAAGCGTTAAACTCGCACTAGCAGTTTCGAAAGCGCGAATGAAAAATATGAACTTTTTTCGTTAAGACAGCTGTCGACTGTCGATAGATTTATTATAACATATTAAGGCAAAGTACATTTTGTGTCATTGTCATATCAATCGAGTCAATCAGGATTGGACGCGATTCGTGAAATGATTTATTAAAAGATGTATTCATTGTGTTGATTAAAATAAAAATATTCATATCGTGCTTGGATTAAGCTATAATTCTCTTCATAAAACAGGGTCAGATGTGCCGATTTTAAGTTGTCTTAAAATTAAGAACTTTCACACTCCTGATCCCTCCACAAAATTTCAAACAAGTTTTCTCGCGCAAAAATAAGGCGGAGAAAGGCGAGATGCGATACTATTGGTTTCAAATATATATCACATTATGTCGCGCATGACAACGTATAGCAAGAAAATCGAAGTGGTTTCCAATATGTTATAATAGTTCCACCCTTCGCAAGGATAGTCGTAAGACCATGTCATCGAAGACATCGGCCCAACTTTATTCCGCGAATCCCTCGACAAATCTCTCACCCTTCGAAATGCGCGATTCGTAAAATTGTATAACGACAAAAATTACTTACAGCAAAGTTCGAACCGTTTCCACCCTCGAGGACTCCCGCGAGCAGCCTGGAGAGCCAGCTGGCTTCTCCCCCCTCCCTCTGTCTCTCTATTTCTCTCTCTCTCTCTCTCTCTCTCTCTCTTTCTCTTTCTCTCTCGCACCCCGTCGGCCCACACTATCCTCCGGTTGCACCTGGTTGCAACGAACCTTCCGGAACAAGGATAACGCGCGGACTGCGCCGGGGAACGAGGAGGGAACGATATAACGCAGCGCGCACGGAACACACGCGTCACGCGAACATGAACGAGGGTGTGCGAGGGTGGTGAGGTTAGAAACGCCGAGGAGTCTAGGGGTTCTCGTGCACAGAAGAGCGTCTAGTTCGCGTGGAGGGCGTCGCGGCGCTGCCAAGCGACGACGCCACCGCGTTTCTGCAACCCTCTGCGAGTCCCTTTCTCTTTCTCTCTCGCGCGCGCGCAATCCCTATTGGCTGACAACGGCAACCCCTTGCCCCCACTGTTTACCCAACGTTCAGGAACGTCGGCGCGCACGTGGGCACCCTAAACGTCACCCTTCTGGCCCGTATCTTGCAAGAAACGCGAATCGAGAGAGGGTGGCGATAAGATTCATCGTCGAACTGGCTCTTCTAGTGTTAAATTTTTCCCTTCAAGATTTTTAAAAGTTGATAAAGAAATGTAGAGTGAAGTAATAATGAGGAAATTCGAGTATTGTCTCGAGTTATAAGATTCTACAATGGAATCTGATAACCTTGATCAAAGGAACACGCGGTAAAGAACTACGTAACAACTTTTGAAGCGTCACAGTCACGAGATAATTTTGTTTACTATACAACTACTAACTATACAAATTTGCGGATTAATCAGCGTCTAGAAAGTTACTTTAACATCCCCTCGTTGTCGTCTGATGTCGCGATGTGCACACGCACATTTTCACTTTTCGCATCCGATAACGATAATTATAGCAGTCTAGTTCCCAGTTTCCTCCGGTGCTACACTCTTCTGAATAATAAACGGGCGCTCGTTCGCAAAGTTTCTGAGCGGAATGCGCTTTTAACGTTCCCGAAAACTCGAGCAACAACGGTGAATAATTATCGCGGAAATCGCTTGTTACATGCTAATGATGAGAAGTACCGCTGGGAAATCATAATAATAAGACGCCACTTAGCGATATTACTAATAATAAAAGAGAGAGAGCGATACTTTGGATAGTCAAACGAGAAGTTCATTCACCGTGATTCGACCTTTCAGTATGTATATTTCTGTAATAAATTTCTGTAATATATTTCTATAATAAAGTTTCACGCGTTTGAATGGAGATGCCATTCTCGTCGAGAGAGAAAAAAAAAATAATTGCGTCAAACTAGTGCGACGTATCAAACATTCGAACGAGTGACGAGCAAAGCGATCGGAAAATCGGAAAACTCGCGGCGGATTGGCGAGGCGTTCTGCCAGGTGATCGAAGGCTCGTTAACGATCGTAATAGACAATGGCTTCAGAAAGCGTGACAAGAGCCGCGTGTGTAATTGTGTACTTGCCAGAAGGGAGGGTTACAAAAGTGAATTGCTGGGTCGTGCCACGCTCTACTACGACAAGCGTGCAAAAATCAATACCAACAGAGACCTGTCGTCCTGAAATTGCTCTTGTATCTCTTATCTCGTCTTCTTTAGCCACTCTGCGCGCTGCTTCCTATTCGACGCCGAGAACACCGACATCAAATATCGATCCTTACTTTTCAAAGGTTAAAACGAAACGTCTAGATTAAAAATGATTAATGTCAAAAAGAAAAGAGGAAAACTTAACACGAGACACAATGATAGTTGTCTTGCAATCTGAGAAGAAATTTATTGAGGAACTAAAAACGGTGGAACATCGATTTTGCTTGCCATTATTTTCGACCGATGTAGCGAAGGCATGAATCTACTATCTCCATGAAGAAAGCTTTAATTCCGAATTTTAACGTAATTAACAACGTTATTGTTAATCCAACGAAGTGTCTGAGCCGATTAGTCCGTCTCTTCGTCGTACCAAACTTTAATTAAAAATTCTCATATATTAACGCGCTATTTCCCAATTTTCCAATACACGTTTTCATCAAGTAAAATCAGCTACGAATTTGTCAGAGAATCTATCGCTAAAATACTTTCCGATACCGAAGCGACCTATACGTGTGTCCACCGAGATTGCGTTTTATCGCTGTATTCAACGTATTCGACGGGCTCCGAAGAGCAAGGCCGGTTGGTTAAGCCGGAAAATTTATCGAGACAAATCTCGTCAGATTGGACATTTAAATACACGTCGCATCGCGTCGGCGCTTCCATCGTTTCGTTCCAGTCGCGTCCGTTGGTTTCGGGCTTATTAATTATTCCGGGCAGCGAGTGAACCGAGTCAGGACGAGCGATTACCCAGCGGTCCATGCAAAAAAAGGCTACAATTTCCCGAGTAATTTTGCGTAGCTTACTTATTAAAAAGCGCCCGGAGGCGGAACGTCTCTTTAAATCATGCGCACCCCCAGGGCCGGGCTCTTCTCATGTCTTTCTAATATTTATTAATCTCATTTGCTCTGACGACCCTCGACACCGCCACGAGATTCACACATTGACTGTTCACCCGGTAGAAATCGGACTCTGCAACATTAATATCTGACGCGGAGAGAGAGTTCTGCGCGCGTCGTTTCAATCCTATCGCCTTTCGTTGGGGAAATGCGCGCTTCGTTACGCATTCGCCAGACGAAACTGCTCGGAAAATTGTCGCACTAATGGCCGTTTCGCATTCGTAATATCCACTAATCAAGGAGGCAGTTTGTTTTCCCGCCGGACGCGCGTGATCCGTACATACGAATTATCCCAATGTTATCGCGGTTCATCTAATCATAATTCAAACTAATCATAATATCGAACAACAAGTTTCAATCTTCCTTTTAGTTCTGATGGAATGAAATCTAAACGAGATCTTCTAAAAAAATTAGAGTAAAAGCTTCGGTAAAAATGTACGTAGTTTTCCTAGATACTTATCCTTAAAGTTACTGTCTAGTATTAATGCATTCTCATTAATTGTAACGATACTGCTAGGAAATGGACAAGATACTTATTAAAGTTTTATTCAGTAGCTGAAACAATTTTCCTGGTAAAAAATATGTGTAGTTTAGCGTAGACGTCCGCTCAGTTATCGTCTAATGTTAATCAATTGAACAGTTTTTTGTTCATTTATTGCTCTGTTTTCGTTCAGTAAATGGGTTTAGATTTTGTGCGCAATAACTGCAGGAAGAGCGTTACATCTCGATTGGAATTCCAGGTAGTTTTATTCCTCAGTTACTAGGCAGAAGTTAATATAACTGATCAATAACTGCTCAAAAAATGCATGAAATTTGGATTAGAAGGTATAGTTATGCTGAAAAATATTTTCTGAAAGGTATAGTTATGCTGAACAATATTTTCTGGACAAAGATCCTCGTAGACACGGTCATACGGATACGCGGTGGAAGTTTTATAGTCTACAGCGCAAACCTGTCAACCCTATCAAAGACGGGATTAATCGATGTAACCGATTATATGTGTTCAAGCAAGCGAATTAATAAGTGACGTGAAAGGCGGCGGCTGTGTAAATTTCTTAGCTAGTCTGCGCGTTTGTCTCGAAAGCGTATATGCGCGGTCATTAAACGATTATATTTTCGAGCCGTCGCATAAGCGGCCGCAGCGTCGAGGGTTGGCCTCGACAGGTTTACACGTCAAAGTTTACCAAAGGCTCTTCAGAGCCGGCGAGCCTTCGCAATACACGGCTCTAGCTGCTACGCCCGTGATTGTGTAGGTGTGTCGAGATACTCGGCAAACGAGATCTACGCCAATATACAGGGTGCAGATCGTAACTCCTTTAATCCCGTCGTTAAACCGACGGAAAAGAAACATTTTCATATCTAATTCACTTATTGAAGTCACTCACCGTAATTTATATAAAAAGAAATCACAAAATGCGCGAAACACGTGTGATTATTCTATTCATTATGAATAGATGAAGAATAAACAAGGGGAATAATACGACCAGTTAATTACTAAAGCATCGCGCGCTCAGCGTCGGCGTGAATTCCAAAACACCCCATGTACGTTATGCCTCTGTATATACGTGCGAGAACGGAGTCGAGTCGAAGGGAGGGCATTAGGGGTGGGTGATTGTAATTTCACACATGGCGTAACGCACCGCTCTGCCACCCTTCACCTCTCGGCTTACGCCCTACGATGTGAAGCCTTCCGCGGTATACTCTTCCATCCCTCTTCGTCGCTCCGTCACCCCGTCGTATATATTTTGCTTTCGTTTGTTGAACGTACGACTGCAACCGCACGCTGTGGAATACCCACTTCTGGTGCCTCTCTCTCTCTCTCTCTCTCTCTCTCTTTCTCGCCTATTTATTCATTGTTGCGTTGTCCTCAAGCCAGCCAGCTCGCCCGTCACCTTTCGTCGTGTTTCCGTGACAAGCGGAACCTCCGTCGCACTGTCAACCACCAACTGCGAATGGTTAGCAACCGATTCAAATTTTCGGACGGAAGTTAACGTAAAGACGAATTACCTCGGATTAATTAACTGTCTCGGATAGATCGCGCAATTGTTGGATAATGGTTTTTCCGTTTTCGTTTACGACCCTATTCCGCAGCCTCGCTTTCGAACGCAGCTGAGCTTGCCGCCTCAGGAAAGAGCATGCAATCGCCGAGACCGAAATTAACCCAAGTTATCGGCGCAACCCAAGCTTAACGCATTTTACGGAAACGAGCTGTTTCCTGCATACGTACGCGCCTCGCCCGCGCCGCGGAGGCGACCTTAAAAGATTCACAAGGGCTGTCCGTGCGGCCGTTTCGCAAAAATTCTCCCCGCCGCTGTATCGCGCGTTGCCGGCGATATTTAATATCTCGAAACTGGCGCCGGTTGCTCGCGCGAGAAAGTGCGAGGGATGGTGGAGAGTTGGCAGGGTGGGAGGGAGGGAGGGAGAGAAGAAGCAGAAGGAAAACGCCGGGAAAACTGCCGCGGGTGTGGCGCCTTATCAAAAATTAAAATTTCATTCGGCCAAACCGTGGCGGGCGCTATCGAGATCCTCTCCGGGGGTGCGATAGTCTCTCGGAGAAAGAGAGAGAGAGAGATACCGGAAGCGAGATACCGGAACGGCGTGCTCGGTGTAAGAGGCAGTAAGCCTTAATCGTGAGAAACTAACTTCGCCGAAGTTCCGACGAGGCCGCCGCCGTCTCCGCTCTCTCCGCGCATTGTTCCCGTTTTTCCTTCGAATTTATTGCGCACTTCCACGGCCCTTTACATTCCCGCCCGCGACTCTCTAAATCTGAATTTTCTAAATCTGGATTTACGGGCCCGCGCTCC